AACATGGGATATCGCAATGTCTGACCTTCTTAGTGGAGCAATCTCATTGCAAGAATTTCGTGGAATTGTCTTTGTCGGAAGATTTAGTTACGCCGATGTGCTTGATTCTGGAAAAGGTTGGGCAGCTTCAATCCGATTTAATAAACCTCTTTTGAGTCAATTTCAAGAATTTTATGAGCGTCCAGACACTTTCAGTTTAGGGGTTTGCAATGGTTGTCAGCTGATGGATCTCTTGGGGGTGGGTTCCAGGCCCCAAAGTTGGAGGCGTTCTTGGGGACAATGGCGATCCATCCCAACCAAGGTTCATACACAATGAATCTGGACGGTTTGAGTGCGGCTTCACAAGTGTGAAAATTGATGACTCGCCAGCTATAATGTTCAAAGCAATGAAGGGTAGCACATTGGGTGTGTGGGCTGCCCATGGTGAGGGAAGAGCATATTTTCCCGATGATGGTGTTTTTGATAGTATTCTAAAATCAAATTTGGCCCCCGTGAAATATAATGATGATGATGGGAATCCGACAGAAGTCTATCCTTTCAATCTTAATGGTTCTTCTTTAGGTGTGGCAGCAATTTGTTCTCCAGACGGCAGGCATCTTGCCATGATGCCTCATCCAGAGCGTTGCTTCTTGATGTGGCAGTATCCTTGGTATCCGAAGAACTGGAATGTGGACAAGAAAGGCCCCAGCCCCTGGTTGCGAATGTTCCAAAATGCTCGGGAGTGGTGTTCGTGAGGTTAGTCCTTGCAATTGACCATATGCATTTAACATTCTGTTTGATATAAATTGAATATTTTCTTATTCTGTTTTTTTGAATTACAGAGGCTTGATGACTTGGGTACCATTATTTTCCGTGCTCCTGATATAGCCTCATGTTTCAGACAGGTGGATTCAACATTTTGATGCGAGAATAAAGGTAGCATCTTGTTGAGAATAAATTAAAGGGCAAATAAGGGGTGTATTCAATTGGAACTTTTGAAGACTTCTATAGATTTTTTTAAGTGGATGGCTTTTGTGGATTTTATGGACTTTTATAAAGGACTTTTATGGATTTTTTAAGAATTAATGAGTTTTCCATGGATTTCTGTAGATTTTGATTAAAGATTGTAAAATAATTTTGAATTTTTTTTTTTATCTTATAAATTCATTGTATACCTAAAAAATCACAATATTTCTTACTACCTAATTAACATTTTCGAGAACCATGATGTCCACAAAATTTTTTTTGGGTAAAGTCAAGTCATTAGTCATGGTCAAGTCATTCAATTTTGGAAAATAATAAAAAGCTTTTATATCAATTTCTAAGTACATAACAAAAAAAATTTCATGAAAACATAAATTCTAATAACACAAATTATTCTCAACAAAATAAAGGAAAAAGAAAAAGAATAGATCGATTACATGGAATTTTATATTTTGAAACAATTGCATATAATTTCAATTCAAAAGTAATTATGTACATATAGAATAATCATAAATTGATTATAGCAAATGAATTAAAAATATATGAGAAAATTCTAGAATTGAAAGAAAAAAGACCTTTTTTTTTGGGGCTCTAAAATCTTCACAAATCTTTATATGAGAAATTTTATTTAAGATTTGCTATTTATATTTTTCATCAAAAAATCTCCAGAAGTGCAATAAGTAGAGAGGTCTTCAAAAGTCATTGTTTGAATACCTCATAACTTATGGAGACTTTTAAAAAGTTTTAATTGACTATCCCATAACTTTTACGGTCTTTAAAAAGTCTGTAGAAATCTCAATTGAATACATCTAAACTTTTAGAAAGTCTTTAAGAGTCTCAATTAAATAACTTTTTAAATCCTCAAAAATCATTAAAAGTCCCAAATGAATACAGTTGGAAAATATCTATAGAAGTTCTTGTTAACAAGAGCAATGCAATACTCTAATGAAGCGCAAAATAGGGAGGGGCGGATCAAAACTAATGACTTGATGTGGTTGCAAAAAATAATTTCTTTGGCCCTTGTAATGGATGTAGTGCTAGATCCAACATGGTAGGAAAAAAAAAGAATTTGTGTAACTAATATGTTCTAACTTATTACTGCACTTTCTTTGCTTGGACAACCTGGACTTAATATTGTCATAAATTGAATTATGTCGGTTCCTACTTAGCACTTGAATTTCTTGATGTTTGGTTCCAAATTTGTTATTCTTTCAGGTGTTTGTAATTAGACAATGTTATGGTATCTCAACCAAAGATGCCGTTGTTTCTGCATCTTTGGCTTTTATATTCCTTAACCGTAGAATTCCACGAGCCAAATTCCGTAGGTAGCCTCCATTTCTGGACCAGGCAATCTTAGATACTAAAATTGAATTCCTGATATGAAGTCTGAATTAGGATGGTGGCCTAAAACTTCAAAGTTACACAGGAAGAGGAGGAAAAACATCCTGATATACTTAGATACAATAAGCAGACTAGGAGTAGCATCATGCCAAAGAAAAAAAGAGACGAAAACGCAACTTAATATTTCCGTGTGCAATATCTGTGCCTGCTAGGAAAGCACAGTAAATTCAGCTTCAGAGTCATCTTGAATTTAAGTGCTGCACATCCATTGAGATTGCAGATAAATATCTTGGTTGAGTTCTTCAGAGAATCTGTCAAAAACACTGGAATTGGAGTATGCTTGGAAAATCTCATCCTCAAATAAATTTCCCTGGGGAAACTGCATGTTCATTTGGCTAGAGCAAGCTTGATTTACTGATAGATTTCCAGGTTGTTGAAGTTGTAGACTTTGTTGGTTAATATGATCATCTACGACAGTATACCCAGAGGAAAATTGTAAAATGTCAAGACTCGCCAGCTATAATGTTCAAAGGAATGAAGGGTAGCACATTGGGTGTGTGGGCTGCCCATGGTGAGGGAAGAGCATATTTTCCCGATGATGGTGTTTTTGATAGTATTCTAAAATCAAATTTGGCCCCTGTGAAATATAGTGATGATGATGGGAATCCGACAGAAGTCTATCCTTTCAATCTTAATGGTTCTTCTTTAGGTGTGGCAGCAATTTGTTCTCCAGCGGCAGGCATCTTGCCATGATGCCTCATCCAGAGCGTTGCTTCTTGATGTGGCAGTATCCTTGGTATCCCAAGAACTGGAATGTGGACAAGAAAGGCCCCAGCCCCTGGTTGCGAATGTTCCAAAATGCTCGGGAGTGGTGTTCGTGAGGTTAGTCCTTGCCATTGACCATATGCATTTAACATTCTGTTTGATCTAAATTGATTATTTTCTTATTCTGTTTTTTTGAATTACAGAGGCTTGATGACTTGGGTACCATTATTTTCCGTGCTCCTGATATAGCCTAATGTTTCAGACAGGTGGATTCAACATTTTGATGTGAGAATAAAGGTGGCATCTTGTTGAGAATAAATTAAAGGACAAATAAGGGGTGTGTTCAATTGGAACTTTTAAAGATTTCTACATATTTTTTCAAGTGGATGGCTTTTGTGGATTTTATGGACTTTTATAAAGGACTTATATGGATTTTTTAAGAATTAATGAAAGTTTTCCATGGATTTCTGTTGACATTGATTAAAGATTTTAAAATAATTTTAAAAACTTTTTATCTTCTAAATTCATTGTATACCTAAAAAATCACAATGTTTCTCACTACCTAATTAACATTTTCGAGAATCATGATGTCCACAAAAATTTTTTGGTGTAAAGTTTAGGCGCTAGTCATGACCAAGTCATTCAATTTTGGAAAATAATAAAAAGCTTTTATATCAATTTCTAAGTACATAACAAATTTTTTTTCCATGAAAACATAAATTCTAAGAACGCAAATTATTCTCAACAAAATAAGGAAAAAGAAAAAGAATAGATCGATTACATGAAATTTTATATTTAGAAACAATTGCATATAATTTCAATTCAAAAGTAATTATGTACCTATAGAATAATCATGAATTGATTATAGCAAATGAATTAAAAATATATAAAAAAATTCTAGAATTGAAAGAAAAAAGACCTTTTTTTTTTTCTTTTTTGGGGCTCTAAAATCTTCACAAATCTTTAGAGTATATGAGATATTTTATTTAAGATTTTCTATTTATATTTTTCACCAAAAAATCTCTAGAAGTCAAATAAGTAGAGAAGTCTTCAAAAGTCACTGTTTGAATACCTCATAACTTATAAAAACTTTTAAAAAATTTTAATTGAATATCCAGTAACTTTTATAGACTTTTTAAAGTCAGTAGAAATCTCAATTGAATGCACCTAAACTTTTAGAAAGTTTAAAAGTCTCAATTAAATACACCTTAACTTTTTAAATCCTCAAAAATCATTTAAACCTCAAAAATCATTAAAAGTCCCAAATGAATACAGTTGGAAAATATCTATAGAAGTAATGAAGCTGTTCAAAATAGGGAGGGGCGGATCAAAACTAATGACTTGATGTGGTTGCAAAAAATATAATTTCATCGGCCCTTGTAATGGATGTAGTGCTAGATCCAACATGGTAGAAAAAAAGAATTTGTGTAACTAATATGTTCTAACTTATTACCGTACTTTCTTTGCTTGGACAACCTGGACTTAATATTGTCGATAAATTGAATTATGTCGGTTCCTACTTAGCACTTGAATTTCTTGAAGTTTGGTTCCAAATTTGTTATTCTTTCAGGTGTTTGTAATTAGACAATGTTATGGTATCTCAACCAAAGATGCTGTTGTTTCTGCATCTTTGGTTTTTATATTCCTTGACCGTAGAATTCCACGAGCCAAATTCCGTAGGGAGCCTCTATTTCTGGACCAGGCAAACTTAGATACTAAAATTGAATTCCTGATATGAAGTCTGAATTAGGATGGTAGCCTAAAACTTCAAAGTTACACAGGAAGAGGAGGAAAAACATCCTGATATATAGGTACAATAAGCAGACTAGGAGTAGCATCATGCCAAAGAAAAAGAGACCAAAACGCAACTTAATATTTCCGTGTATAATATCTGTGCCTGCTAGGAAAGCACAGTAAATTCAGTTTCAGAATCATCTTGAATTTAAGGTGCTGCACATCCATTGAGATTGCAGATAAATATCTTGGTTGAAATCTTCAGAGAATCTGTCGAAGACACTGGAATTGGAGTATGCTTGGAAAATCTCATCCTCAAATAAATTTCCCTGCGGAAACTGCATGTTCATTTGGCTAGAGCAAGCTTGATTTGCTGATAGATTTCCAGCTTGTTGAAGTTGTAGACTTTGTTGGTTAATATGATCGTCTACGACAGTATGCCCAGAGGAAAATTGTAAAATGTCATTTGGGATGTTAGTTTCTTGAGACATTACATACTGAGGGGCATCAACTCCAATATTAGCCATTTGATTTCCGATTATTTCTATCTCCTCCTCGAGGTTGGCCACCTGCATGGTAAGTTTTTACGTATGAAGTCCTTGATTTTATTGCAATGTAATAAGAGGTTTCTAGAGAAAAGTGTAACAACGAACCAATTTCTGCAGTGCAAGAATATATGCAACACAACCATAAATGGGGTCCTGCATTCTTGCCAGTGCTTCATAGGATAATGTTATGGCAGCATCACTTCGATTCTGTACAGGGAGGTGTAGCAATAGTTTGGAGACGTTGCTTGCACCAAAAACCTTGTGAACAGCAGAAAAGTGACTTGCTGCATGGTCGTAAGAGAAGTAAGGCGCAAAGATGCATTCGCTCGTGCACCTTCTTCTCAAGAACTTGCACGCTCCACATGAAGAACCAAGTCCTGTCATTGTATAACCTTAGGTTTCACAAATCCTAAACCTTGCACGAATTCGTGTTGTGAAGGAACAAGTAAAGATCTAAGCTTTATAATCATTGTTCAGAAAAGGGTCAGGAGTTTTTTCATTAGGGGCAAGGGACATTCTCACTTTTAAGTTAAAGGTAAATTCTTTTAGGTCTCCTTTGTGGCCAACAGTTTCATGCACAAATTAGGTAAACTTTCCTTATTTGTGATTTTGGAATAGCTTTATCCATTTCAACTGATGGTATACCCAATCATCATTTCAATATGTCGGTCTCCCAAAAATTAGTGATATATGGTTGTTGATTAGTAGTCTATAATTCTATGTTAATGTTGTAGCATAGGAAAGTATGGTAGCCTCTTTTGCCCTTTATTTAGCAATAATGAATGAGTTCATAATGCTTTCTTGAAATAATTAGAGGACAAAATAGACAGATGACTTTTGAGCAGTTATATTCAGTGTGAAAGTACTTCTCTTGCTATAATCAGCAAATTATTAGCCTTACAATGTCACTTCAGTAGTCTCTCTCTCTCTCTCTCTCTCTCTCTGCGCCCTTTCGGGCATATTAGAGGTTTAAGTCGAGCAGGAATTAAGCTGTTATGTGACTTCGTATTGTTCCACATGACATAAGAATTGAAATTTTTGAACTATACCTTAAAAGGAATTGGTATGTTTATCTGTGGATAGTTACCTTTTATACATTGAAATCATGGTATTTTTCTGCTGCTGTTACTAAATTCAGATACTCTTTATTGAAGTTACGACTAGATAGTAAAGAATTTAAAGATTGTTGCACATGTTTTTATGTCCATTTGAAGTGACAGCTCAAGTTTATAATATTCTTTGTGCTTCTCCTGTGCTTAGGGATATATTGAGACTAGGTTGCATGACTCAATACTTTCAATTTGTCTGGACATACTCATTCTCCATTATTAATTCATATTTTTAGCTCTAATTCTCAGTCTAAGTTTGGCTGTTTCCCACTAAATAATGGATCGGCCAACGTCGTTTAGTGCTGTCTTTACATTAAAAAAATCCTTAAAAACAGCTTCATCCAATTCTCTCAATACAAGAATAGGGGCTCAACATTGGGCATCAAATAATATGATCAGGTGCTCGAAACTATTGCATTTTTAGCTACTTTTCTGCTTCAAAGCTCTAGAGAGAACAGAAGGATATAGATCTTTTCGATTAAATACCGAATTCCATACTACGAAAAGCAGCAATGACACCAAACAAAGAAGTGAAGCAAGTAACAAACACGACTTAAACTAATCCACCTTGAATGTAGGAGCTACTTCAACTTGTCAGATTTCACTGCTACGCAGGAGAGAATAAGGTTACAATGTGTGTATAAACTCACATCTATTTCTTCTCTTTGCACTTAAAAACTATGCTAATCACCTTAACATTCTCTATGTAGGTAGAAAATATTAGGTCAATCTGTTCTCAAAGAAAAGAATGAATAGTATAGCCCTCATGGGCATGGCGCAGTGGTAAATGAGGGTTATCTACGGAGTATCGACGGTTCAAATCCCTGTGGCAACTGGAAGGCAACACTTAAATGTTCAAATGCAACATCTATGTTGGAAGACAGAAGTTCACAAGGAGAAGAATCGCCGAATGTCTAGCTCAAGTGTGTATAAGTTGTAACCGCATCCGGATTAACCCCGGTGGCGGGCACTCCTTAGGATTAGTCGGACGAAACTTGGACACATGAGTAATATAAAAGAAAAAAAAAAAAAGAAGAATGAATAGTAATTAGACTTTACATGTTCGATGCAGAGAAGGATTTATGGGGGCCCAGCCCAATTTCCGGTCCGTTAATTTTTTTAGTGTAAACAAAAAATCTTGTAAAAAAAATTATGTTTAAATTTATTTTTTCTACATATTAATCCGACTTGTAATCCGATCCCGAATCCGTCCTTGATTCAGCGTAAGAGAGCGTGACATTATCGTCGAGGTGAATTTCCATCATTCTATCTTGTCAAAGGGATAAAGTTTTTTAGGTTTTTTGTGACGAGAATACATGCATGAAAGAACAATATTTGTGGGATGGTGGAAAGGAGCCTTTAAACTTTCGAGCAAAACGATGCAAGTGCCTTTCTCTATCATAAAATGATTTATTATATACTTAATTCTATGGTAGGCCATAGGCTTGCTAGCTCATTTTCATACTTTTTTTTTTTTTATATCCAGATATTCCATCTTAGTCAGACTAAATTTTAGACCTTTAGCTATCGGCTCCTCAGCGACTCGAGGAGGTAAACCGCGGATTATGCCCTTGTTGGCTCCCAAGTTCCTGCACCGCTTATACTTCGGCCCCAAGAGAGATCTCCTCACTGCCTTCTACTCATTGCCTTGTCTTCGAGAAAATCCCTCTTCCAAGACTCGTGCCTTCCAGGAATCGAACTCTCCACGCTTGGGTTGCGAGCCCACAAATGCAAATGTTCCACAAACTCGGATGTGCCCGGGGGGCGCTCATTTTCATACTTTGTATTTGGCAGTCTCCGATCAATACATGCCTGGGATTGTACAACACTAAGGGTCCGTTTGATTGCAAGGGTAGAAAATGGATGGAAAGAAAATGATTTTCAAAGAAAATAATTGCCTAAAAAATGTTTTGTAGGGAAAATGATTTCAAATGTGTTTGATTGATATAATTTTCTACCCGAAAAATTTTTAAATTTTCTATTCGTTTGGCTTTGTTTTACATGGAAAGTATCTATTGAAGTGATATTTTTTTCCACAATTGATTATAAAATTTGTTCACATTGCAAAAAAGTTAAAAAAGGAAAAAAATTGTTTCCTAAAAAATCATTTTTTTTAATCAAAGTTTAGTATTCATTTGATTTTGTTTTACATGAAAATTGTCAATTAAAGTAAATTTTTTTTTAACTCTTAGTTATGACATTTGTTTCCATTGTCAAAAAAATAAAAAAATGGACAGCAGCCCATGGAATTCATTTTCCCACCAAAATGAATTCCCTATTTTTATGGAATTTGGGCGCGTGACCCAGCAGTAGGGCTGTTCGTGGATCGGTTCAGATCCGTTCTGAAGAGAACTGAATTTACCCAAAACTTTCGGGTATTTAATAAATGGACCCGTTGGGTCCAAATATAATTAGGAATCATTCAGGTTCGATTTTTTTTGGTTCCGTTCCATTCCGTCCGATTCCATTCGATTCCATACTATAATTAAATTTTTTAACATTTACAGCAATACTACATAAATACAACTAATGACATTTCACTCGTAACTTGTATAAATTAACGTAGCCCAATTCAAAAACATATAAATAACTTGCTATCCAAATGATTTGGATATTGGGCTTTAAATTAATATTACAGCAACACTACATAAAGTATATTCATTTGCTTCAAATTAAAATGGGCTAATGGGTTTTAAAAATGATTTGGGCTTTAAAATTAAAATTATGAAATAATCTGATTTATTTAATTAATTTGCTAATTTGTTTTAAAAAATAATTTAATTTAATTAATTCAATATAAAAAAATAAAAAAAATTATTTAGTTTCAGGTCTTATTTGGTTCTTCAGTTCTTGATCTAGAACCGAGACCCGACCCAAACCCATCGGTTCTTGATTCGGGTACCTGTTCGGGTATTTAACTTATGAAGAACCGCTTGATTCGGTTCGATTCGGGTTCGGTTCAGTTTGAGACTTTTGGACACCCCTACCCAACATCTAAGAAAACATTTTAGGTGGAAAATTTGGCTCATCAAACAACCAAAAAGTAAGAAAAATGAATTGATTTTCCAAGTTCCAAGGAAAAATTGACATATCAAACATAGCATAATATCAATGTTCATTGTGCGCTTGGACCTCATTATTTTTTAAATATATTTTTCTCTTTTTTCTTTTTAACTATCTATTCTTTAATAAAATAATGTTACACGTAAATTCAAATTTTTTCTTTATTTTTCAACTACACATTTTCTATTAATATACTATTTCAAAATACATTCTTACATTAAAATGTGGCTCAAACGGCTCTAGGTAATTGCTCTTTTGAGTTGTTAAATGTTAGAGCGGTAACTGAATTATTTAATTCGTTCTATGTACTGTTACAAGATTAATATAGTGACGACATTTTATAATGAACGTAATTAGCAAGTGGAGGTAACACAATTGGGAATATATTAAGTTATAACGACTCGTGTGATTGATCCATATTTTGCATAAATTTAAAGAAGTTCCTATTCCTAGAGAAAAGTTTAAGTACATAAGTTAGGACTCTCAATTTAAATCACGACACTTCTTACATCGAGACGTGATTTGAAGGAATGATCTTAATACATGTACATATAAAATCGTCCTACGAAGCTTGAATGAATGATCTTATCATATTTAGGTGGAAAATTTGGCTCATCAAACAACCCAAAAGCAAGAAAAATGAATTGATTATCCAAGTTACAAGGAAAAATTGACATATCAAACATAGCCTAATATCAATGTTCATTGTGCACTTGGACCTCATTATTTTTTAAATATATTTTTCTTTTTTTTTTCTTTTTAACTATCTATTCTTTAATAAAATAATGTTACATGTAAATTCAATTTTTTATTTTATTTTTTAACTACACATTTTCCATTAATTTACTATTTCAAAATACATTCTTACATCAAAATGTGGCTCAAACGGCTCTAGGTAATTGCTCTTTTGAGTTGTTAAATATTAGAGCGGTAACTGAATTATTTAATTCGTTCTATGTACTGTTACAAGATTAATATAGTGACGACATTTTATAATGAATGTAATTAGCAAGTGGAGGTAACACAATTGGGAATATGTTAAGTTATAACGACTCGTGTGATTGATCCATATTTTGCATAAATTTAAAGAAGTTCCTATTCCTAGAGAAAAGTTTAAGTACATATGTTAGGACCCTCAATTTAAATCATGACACTTCTTACCTCGAGACGTGATTTGAATGAATGATCTTAATACATGTACATATAAAATCGTCCTACATTCGAACTTACTTACTAGAATAGTAATGCATATATATAAAATCGTCCCACGAAACTTGAAGATGAAGGAATTATACCAAACCCACCCAACATTATATGTTGTAGTTATTAAGGACCCAACTTCTTTGCATATTCTGGTAAATCTTGCAATTGGCCTAGCAAAATGACAGTTAAGAACTTGTATATGTATGCTGATGCAAGACTTGGTTAGCTTGTTATTGTTATATTCACCGTTATACTTTCTTGATATGTTTGATACGTTGAACTGCATGTTATTTAACATGATTAATGAAAAGAAGAAAGCTAAAAATATTTTATATTATCCTGTACAATATTGTCGAGTAACAGAAAGCTAAAATGTAATGGAAGTAATTGTCGGTAAGCTTAACTAATAAACCCTAAATTTTCAGCACATGTTGATAAGCTTAATAAAAAATAAAGTTACCTTACCTTTGTGTACTATTCTTCATGTGAATATGGAGTACTTGGTGTGAAATAAAATATAAATGCATTTTCTCAAGTGATCTGTTTTTCTAAGATGCTCAACTCATGAGGACCTATGGACAGTTCAAAATTTTATGTTCTTTCCTTTTCAAACTGTTGATGGAATCATCATGGAAGGTTTGAATGTAGCAGAAAACAAGTTTTGTAGCATATGCTTCCGTTGGTTGAGCATTTACGTTGTGGGAATTTCAGATCAGCAATAACAAAATTCGTCCGATTACAGTAAAATATAAATAATGGACTGATGCAAAAATATAATGTTTCACATCGAAAACCCACCATTAGAGCTGGCCGTGGGTTGGATTGGTTTTGAGTCCAACCCTAACTCTACCCAATATGTTTGGTTTGACAATAATCCAAACTGAAACCAACATATTCACGGTTGAAACCCAACCCAATCCAAACCGACCGAACTCGGGTTGGTTCGGGTTGGGTTGATTGATTTGGACTTAAGTTCAATTCAAGTTGGACCCACTTATTCTTTTGTTAGACGATTTTCTTTTATGGGCTCAATGGTTAAAACTTTTTTCGTTGAATTTGAACAATTTTTTTTAAAAAGAGAGATTTGAAATGCCCTAAGTCGATTGAAGTTGGATCAATAGTCAGTGGGGTTAAGTTCCATTCCAATAGAAAAATATAAATTAAAAATATTGTAAAACCCGTTAAATAGATTATACCATGATCAAATTAAATACATATTAAATTAATTTAAATACATGTTGAATACATGCATATTATACATATAGTGTTAAATAAATTATATCGTGATCAAATTAAATACACATTAAATCAATCTTAATACAAGTTGAATACTTGTATATTATACGTATTGAATAAAAAGAATTCAACATAAATACTAAAAATGTAAATCTCATTCTTCAATCCAAGTGTTTAGTAAAAAATCACGTCAAAAAATCGAGTCGAGTAGCCGATGCACGAGCAACAATGAGAGACAGAAAAGACGTGAGGTAAAGGAAAATTTTGATCATTAAGTCTTTGGTTTCAAGTACTAATTTTCTTTTTAGTTTATTGGGTTGGGTTGGGTTGGGTTGGGTTTGATTGAGTTTTAATAGATAACCCGAAACCCAACCTACCCCGACCTAAAATTTTATAGGGTACTTACAAGAATACCCTTAAAATTAGGGATGTTTTGAAAAATCATATGAAAAGTTTTTAGAAAGTAAAAAATACTGTGTAAAATGAAAAAGTGACAAAATGTCATTTTTTTATAAAAAAATGTCACTTTTTTACTTTTTTTAAAAAAGGTGACAAAACTAAAAAAGTGACAAATATCAAAATAGCACAATTCATTTGTGCAACACCAGTAATCATATTCTTAAAATAATCACCACGTTCAGGCAAATCCACATGCTAATCACGTAAAAAAACTGAATATGAAAATGTGATCAACTATCACTTTTAAAGTTAAGCGTCACTTTTTTATTAAAAATGACATACAATGTCACTTTTATTAAAAATAGATGTTTGTTATTAAAAAAGTAATAGAAATCAAGAAAATGATTGAAAAAAGTAACAACGATTAAAAAAAAGTGATAAACATTGACAAATATTAAAAAAGTGGCAAATATAAAAAAAATGACAGAAATTCAAAAAAGTGACAAAACACCAATTAAAACATTAGAACGAGTTCAATAAAGTAACAGGAAAAAGTGACATAATCAAAGTAGGGTAATGCTACATGTACACACACACTTTTACACAATCTTTTACACCTCTCTCACATGGAGGGGGGTCCACGGTTATTTTATTATGTGTGGACCCCCCTCCATGTGAGAGATGTGTAAAATGCTAAGTGTACACAATATTTTACACCTCTCTCACATGGAAGGAGGCCCACACATAATAAAATAATCGTGGACCCCTCTCGATGTGAGAGATGTGTAAAAGATTGTGTAAAAGATTGTATACACTTAGCATTATTCATCAAAGTATGATCAAGTGGCATTTGTTGCATGATTGTGATTCATTGGAATCAATTCAATAAAGTGACAAAAAAAGTGGCAAAATCAAAGCATGATCAGGTGGCGTTGATGCATAATTGTGATCTTATTCTTGTATTATCATACACAAATTTGCCGGATTGCTATTCTATTCATTAAAGAATCCCTAATTCACTTATCAAACACTTAAAAAACTTTCATTAATGCAAGAAGCAAGAAATTAGATGAGGCTGAATCCTTTGATTTTCTGCAAGTACAAAGTTGCAGTACATTACGATACGCAGTCCTTTCTAGTATACCAAACATGCCATATATGTTACCCATTTCCTTACTTTTAAGATTAGATGGAAATCTGAAGCTGATCACAAATTCTGGCAAGATATGAGTATTCATTCGAGTACTCCAAACTATGTACTTTCTAGGAGACACTAAAATATCAATCCCGGAATCAAATTCTTCGAAACTTGGATTATACTGTTCTGAACCTGGTTGAACAACCTCCATCCTTCCCAATATAACACGGCAAAGCAATAGGTGCCTTAGCCCATCATCATCATCATCATTTAAATTGAAAATTTTACATCAGCACAAAAAATGGATCCCAAAATAAGACTCGGTTCAATATAAAAAATAAAAAAAATAAAATCTAAACCCCGCAATCTGGGGTCAACTATATTTAATTATTTATCTTTTTTCAGTCTATCACTCCATTTTTTGACATGCTCCACCACCAGCACCAATTAGCTAATAATTCTACCTCTCTCTGCTAGTTGTATGGCATGTTCCATAGAATTCATGATACTGAAAATTCTGCTAATTCAACGACAAACAAATTTCTATGATGAACAGGTACACGTGTTTGGTCGCGGAGCCTTTAACTAATACTGGTAGTTCACAGAAATAGCTTGTAGGAGTAGTCGATGTCACCTTTCAGATGGAAGAATCTGTTATTCAACACCTCCCGAGGGCAGAAGAATATATTAACTGGTCGGGAATTGCTGTACTAAACAAATTCAGGCAAGAATTTTACTTAGTGGGGTTCGAGTTTAGTTTAGATTAGGACGTAATTATTACTTGATTAAAATGTTCAATTAGTTTAAAATGTATTAATCAAAAGACTTATTTTAATAGGGTACACAGCCTAATTTTCCCAAATTTGATTTCCTAATCCGAACCCAGCCTAGTTTACTAAAAAACTAACCCAACCGGTTTGGGCAAGGTTGATCGATTTAACTAGTTCGAATTGATTTTTGTCCAACCTTACCTACCATTTCACCGTAAAATGTTATTTACCATCAGTTAAGATTTCAAAATTTTAGCTATTAGATTAATAGTCGGTCCATGTCACGACTCATGCTGGGCTGCAAACTTACCAGCCTGGTGAGGGTCCAGATTTACATCCCTAACATATATGCATCACTGCTCATTAATCATTGCCGCATGAGCAATAATTTCGAACTAGTTAGAATTCTTCATAAGTTTGTAAATTTCATGTAGTTGGCTAGAATTTAAATTACTATAACTCATTTGTTGGTTCGTTCATTTATATACTTTAACGTACAAAATATGTCACTTCTAATGACTAGTACGAGTGCGATTTCAAGGCCTTCCAATGGATAACTAGAATGTTCCAACATCAAATAAAAGGGAATAAGTTCTTGAAGATCTAGTAACAGAAGAAATTTTTCTTTAATTGGAAAAGTTGCAACATTGGTCCCTAATTTATTGTATGAATAGAAGTTGGTTTTCAATTTTTTTTTATCATAGTCAATCCTTATTTAAGGAAACTTTTTCAAAACTATGTTATATCATAGACACGACACACTTTAAATCTCATGGCACCAATCTAAGTTGACAAAAAAAAAATCTATATTCACAAAGTTGAACAGATGAGATAACTTAACTAGTTTATAAAAAAATGAGAAATTCCGTAATTGGGTATTCAAATTGTGCCACTGGCCCACTATAATGAAAGATTGTGAACCAACTTGTTTATCGTAGAGGCCGCATGTCGATTCACTACTTGAACAATAGGTTGATGACCAACATTGCAAATTTTCCTAATAATTTCGACCAAGAACACTCTATGTGGTTGAGTGACAATGTGGACAAATAAAACTACTAGTTTTCACAAATCTAAACCATTAAAATTAAAACAAAAAACATTATCTAGAAAATTAAAATTATTTCCCTTCTGTTTTTATTCAAAGACCAAATTTGGACCTATGAAATTGAATAGATTATATGGCAAGTAAATGACCAAAAATTTAAGTGGACAAGAGTGAAGCTAAAATTCTAACCCAAGAAACCGATGTACAATGGATTATTCAATCTGCATTTGCCATGTGGCAGCCTTGAAATCTTGATTGTGTGGCCGTTAGGAATTCAAAAGCCAATCCAATTTGTGTACACTCTTCATATATATACACTCCTCCCATTGTACTTTGCCTCCTCACAGTAGAAGCTCCTGCTTTAATTCTGTTCAAAACTTTTCATTTAGAATTACATCTGTCGGATCATCTGAACTTATGGCGACAGCAGTCTCGACTGTCGGAGCGGTCAACCGTGTACTGGTAATTATCTATCTCCTTGTTTTATTAGAACGTTTAAGTACATAGAAGTAGACTTTAATGTTGCATAATACACATTAAACTTTCACGCTTGGTTTCTAGTGTAACTTGAAGTTTAAATCGTTAATTTGTTTACTAGGTATAAAATATTAAACTGTTAGCGAGAAGATATATTTTGTAACTTACATTTATTTGCCTTGATATATATCCCGATATTCTTTACTTTTCGTGTGTGTATTTCGTCGATACGACATAAAATATACTTATCATGCTAGGGATTTCACAAATTGGGTACACCAATTCATGTAGATGAAGCATGTTAGTATACAAATGCAAACATATCTGGGACACTGATCTCGATATATGGATTGTATGGTACTAACAGTATTCAAGAGAAAAAACGTTTAAAATAATCCAGTGTACTGTCCAGTCGTGTACTGAATACAAGAAATGTCGTTCGGTGAGAGAGAGAGAGATGCAAAGCTTTGTTCATTTGCTGATAAAAAAAAAAGCAAGAATTATGATTACGATCCTTCTCATGATGCAGCTGAACTTGCACGGATCTGGAGCTGCAGTCCCCAGCTCAGCTTTCTTAGGCAGCAGCTTGAAGAAGGTGAATTCAACATATGTTCCCAAGGCTTCACCAGGAAACCTCAAGGTCGTGGCCGAGATTGACGAGAAGAAACAGACTGATCAGGACAGATGGAAGGGTCTTGTCTCTGATGTTTCCGATGACCAACAAGATATCACCAGAGGAAAGGGTATGGTCGACTCACTCTTCCAAGCTCCCACCGGAATGGGAACTCATGATGCTATCCTCAGCTCCTACGAATACCTCAGCCAAGGACTTCGCACGTAAGAACAAAATTACTCATTCTTAAAACCAGCGTTCCTAAGGCTAACGAGTCAGACATGAAGAGGGGAAACAGGGGGTGGGTGGGGTACTGAAGACTAAATTTAAATATACTAACCACTTAAGTTTTTAGCTTAGATGGAGGTATCAAAGTACACAAAGATTTTAAGTTTAAATATCGCGACTACCTATAACGTACGTGAAGAACTTAAGCCGGTCTTGTTTCTACAGGTACAACTTTGACAACACCATGAGTGGATATTACATTGCTCCTGCCTTTATGGACAAGCTTATGGTCCACATCTCCAAGAACTTCATGACCTTGCCTAACATCAAGGTGTCATTTCCTGGTTTCAATTAAATCTTGGGGAAATCTAAATCAATGCAATTCAAGATATTATAATGTTAATTACTGCAGGTTCCTCTTATCTTGGGTATTTGGGGAGGCAAAGGTCAGGGTAAATCATTCCAGTGTGAGCTTGTGTTCGCCAAGATGGGAATCAAGTGAGTTTGTTAATTTTTACTTGATTTCCATTATTGTTTCCGTGTCAATTATATTTCGTTTATAGTCTCTAACAGTCGTGTCATTGTTTCAGCCCGATCATGATGAGTGCCGGAGAACTGGAAAGTGGAAATGCAGGAGAGCCCGCGAAGCTCATCAGGCAAAGGTACCGTGAAGCAGCTGATATGATCAAGAAGGGTAAAATGTGCTGCCTCTTCATTAATGATCTTGATGCCGGTGCTGGACGCCTTGGTGGAACCACCCAATACACAGTCAACAACCAGATGGTTAACGCTACACTCATGAACATTGCTGATAACCCGACCAACGTGCAACTCCCGGGTATGTACAACAAGGAGGAGAACCCCCGTGTCCCAATCATCGTCACTGGTAACGATTTCTCAACACTGTATGCCCCTCTCATCCGTGATGGTCGTATGGAGAAATTCTACTGGGCTCCCACCCGTGATGACCGTATTGGTGTTTGCAAGGGTATTTTCCGTACTGACAATGTTCCTGATGAAGATGTTGTCAAACTCGTCGACACTTTCCCCGGTCAATCCATTGGTAAGCCCCCCTCCAGTCACGCAAAACTGGCCTTGTTCCCTGCTACAAGCAGAGACGACTCGAAACAATTTCAGACCTTCAAAATAATTGAAAAGGAGAGAAAAGTTGAATGAAAGTTCCTAAAATTTAGGGGCTTTGCCTAAATGTAGGGCCTTAGGAAGCCATCTTGCTTACCTACCTAAATGTTGAGCCGCCTCTAACTACACGAGTATATACGATGAACAACAGGTTAATTATATCAGTTATCTTCATGGTTTTATGTGCAGATTTCTTCGGTGCTTTGAGGGCACGAGTGTACGATGACGAAGTAAGGAAGTGGATTGGTGGAGTCGGAGTCGACAGCATTGGCAAGAAGCTCGTTAACTCGAGGGAAGGACCTCCAACATTCGAGCAGCCGGAGATGACACTGGAGAAGCTTCTTCAGTATGGTAACATGCTTGTCCAGGAGCAGGAGAATGTGAAGAGGGTGCAATTAGCTGACCAGTACTTGAGCTCTGCTGCACTTGGAGATGCTAACAAGGATGCTATTGAAAGAGGAACTTTCTTTGCTTCTTAGATCTCTTGCTCCCACAGGCCTGGATAGGAGGTTCGTATTCAGTTTCTTACACAAACTGAAAAGACACTATGTCCAGTTTACATACCAAACATGTCGTATCTGAATTTTTTATGCTATTTATGCAGGGAAAACAATGTTCGAGTGCCTTAAGGTCGTTCTGATCCGTATGCAGCTAACTATGATCCCACTGCAAGAAGTGATGTGGAACCTGCTTGCTTCTATACATTCTAATTGTCTCTGTGTTGGGTGGAAAAGAGTTTTTATTTTTATGTCTTTTTGGGTGCCAATAATATTGTTACCTGTTTGTTTCTTCGGATTGTTGTCTTGTAATTTTGTGTTTTCTTTAATGGGTTCTCTTTCCTATAAAGTTAGTAGTCGAATGGAATGGGGAAACTGAAACCATCTCTCCCTCTTGCAATGATGCGTTTCCCCTTGGGGGAAGGCTCCCTTGGGGACATGAGTATAAAGAGTGCACAGACCCTGGTCAACTTGGACATATTCCGCGGTTAACCTCCACCCATCACTGAGGGGCCGAGGATGGGTGATCCAAGACATAGTTTGGTGTAAATTAGGATACCTGGATATTAAAAAAAAAATGATGTGTTTCCCCTTTATTTGCTAGCGTAGTTGTCAGAGGAAGCCCTCGCAGTCCCATTTCAATCTAAAAAATTCGTAAAATGACAAGTTAACTCTAGACATAAAAAAGTTATTAGAATCTCACATTAGCTGGTGATATTAACACGATCCACTTAATAAGTTGAGGGCAACCCTCCCCTAAAAAGTCGGTTTTGTTAGATTGAGTTATGCCCAATATCATTTCTAATATGGTATCAGAACATGCCCAATTTTGCAATGTTGGGTGCATCCAATATCGATTTGTTCACAGCTGTTTGACATGGTCCACGCTGTGCGTGAAGGGGCATATTAGAATTTCACATTGGCTGGTGATATTAACACGATCCACTTAATAAGGTGAGTGCAATCCTCCCCTAAAAAGTCGATTTTGTTAGGTTGAGTTAGACCCAATATCCTTTCTAATGGACATAAAAAAGGATAAACACCAAAAATAGATAGAACAAAGAAATAAAATCCATCTTCTTCCTTGTAAATACCTCATACTCAGCTTAACAAGTGTTGGGTTTTCTTTCTTTTCTACAAGAATGTGTTCTCGAACAAATAATTGAGTAAAATAAAGAACAAATAAAATGAGTATGTGGACCCATATGCTTATTCATTTATGGAATACAAGGACTACATAAAGAAGAAACAACAGTAGAAAATTTACAACTGAATTATTCTATAGCACACATCGACTTCTGCGCTCCATTACAGGTGGTGATGATTTTCGCCCATGTTTGATTTGGAAATTATTATATTTTTAGTAAATTTTGATAAAAATTGATAAAATGTGTGTGTGAGAATTGTGTTTCTCAAAACACTTTTAAAATGGGTATTATTTGTGTCAATTGTCTTAGCTGCTTATTTGGCTTTAGCTGCTTGAGTGTCATTCATTTATTGGTAGCCGAGTCTTTCACACGGATTGTGCTAGTTTAAACTGATGAGGACCGTTAGATGAAATCAATGGCTGAGATTCATTCTTGAGATAATATCGTCTGTTCAGATTACTGTTTGAGTCATCACTTGTCATTCTTCTAGACTCCTCGTTTTCTCTCTCCTTTTGGCTCCTTCGTGTTTGAGTCTGTATTTTTCTTCTTCTGGTTGAGTTTTCAGTATTTTGATCTAGCTGTTTAGGGGTGAATCTTTTGTGTAAAATCAGGCCAGAAAGAATGGCTGATTTCGTATAGGTTATCTCTAGGTGTTGGGTTAGATTTGTGAGTTTGAAGTCTCTGTTTTGTGAGATCATTCGATCGATGACCAAAATCTGGAACTGAGTGGTTAACTGTAATATTTCTCTCTTGGAAGGTGGTTAATGTACTAGTGGAACGGTATGTTCCTGAGTACTCAGACTAAGCCATTTATGGTTGAATTGGGTCAACATATATTGTGTTATTGTTCTTTTCGTTTATGCTTTTATACATTATGCGTTATAGTTCATATTGTGAAGTGGTTTCATACATAAAATCTCAATAGTGTTGTTGAAAATGAATTTTAATAAATGGGGACGAAATATGTAACGGTGACGATTGGGGTAATGGTGCAGGGAGTTGTATTACCATCACTAAGCATTTGTTTGAAAATTGGTTTTCAATTTTTTTAAATTTCTTGGTTAAAATTATAAGTTTATAGATATGCCCTGTTTGATAATCATTATTTCAAAATCTTTTTTTCTACGTACTTATTTTTAATCATACATTCACACAATAAAATTTTCTGTATGTCAATTCAAAACTTTTTCCAAAAGTTTAATCCTACATCCTCCAAAAAAATCATTATTCAAAACTTCATTTTACTTAAATAATTGTTATCAAACAGGAGCACAGAAGGTTGGTAAGTTGGTAATATTTATGCTTCCTGTGTAACTAAAATTAATATTTGACTTTATAAATGAATTCTTATCAAAAAAGGAAAAAAAAAAATCCCAATAAAGGCTAAAAGTGCGCCTTAAGCTCATGTTTGTCAACAATTCTTCAAAAACTCTTTTTTAAAAAAAAAAAATTAATTAATTTCTATCACATATTTTTAGAATAAAACATTTTTCCTTAAAATCAAAACTTTTTTTTTTTACTTTTTAACCATACATTCTTTAAAAAATTACTATTCCAAAACTCATTTTCTCCAAAAAAAAAAAAACTCCTTTTTTAATGGGCATCAAACGGGGCTAAATAGTTCGTGCATGAAAAATGGTTCTTGAATAATTTATGGACAGAGATCATAGTGGAGCTAGTAGATTTGAATAAGTCAGAGTAAAAATTGAAGTAATATTGGGGAAATCTTGTTGGAAAAATTGGTTTTATTAGTTAGTTTGATCAACTTTTGATCAATTATTTTAGTAGGTCTTGGACAAAATACATTGGCCGAGTGTGTTCTACTCCATAAGTAGATTATTGTAATGTATTTATTTTCTCAAAACCAATTTAGGGTGAATGAGAAATTAAGGTCAAAACATGATCACTTGAAGTTGAAATAAATTGGAACAAAAATTGGTGGAAATTTGGAAAAGTGCCAATCATACATCGGAAAACTAGAAGAATATAAACCACTTTATATTGCTCAAATTTGAGAATTGGGTTCGGGATCCAAGGGATACCAATAGTCTTTGAAGGGGAGATAACCTACGTGCTAGTAAGTTGGGCCAAAGTCCACGCGCGCGCGGCCTCCAGTGCGGGACATTATCGTTTTAAGGAGAAAGAGTCGAACTCTTACTTTGACCATTAACATTTTATAGCATTCATTGTGCATAACGTTATTCTGCCCAAATTAATTCATGGTGATATAATAATTTGCCACAAATATTCAACAAATCTGTTGGTCAAAAAGTAAAAAACATAAAGAAACCACTTCAGATCCAGTAATATGTTCAAGATTGAGTGCAAAAGCAGTGGCATTATTAAAGTGATAGTAAATGAGTTAGTCGGATATCCCACCATTTTCCTCCAATTCTACCACGTTTAATGGACTGATTTTGCTAAGGGTAATTGGCGCAAAACGTCCCTACCTATGACAGGTTTTGTGGAAAACATCAATACGTTTGATTTTTTGGTGATGGACGTCCCAACCTTTGCATTTTCTTGCGCAAAATGTTCTTCCGTCCAATTCCCGTTAGAATGCACCGTTAAATCCATTAAAAATGATTTTTATTTTCCAAACAAAAGGGTAAAACCGTCAAAACATCCCCTAACTTCCATCCCTTCACTTCTATTTCGTAAAAACAGAGGCCTTGGAAGGGAAACGGACGTGGGTGTCTCCATATCACTCATTACCACCTCTTCCGTTCACCGCCTTCTCCTCTCCGTTCATCGCCTCGACATTCATGGCCTAAGATTTGTTGAACCCCCAGTGAGAAGTGAGTGACTGTAAAAAATGGGTTTCCAAATTTTTGATAGTTCTTTCGATTTTTGGCTTAATCAAACGTTTTCATTTAGTTTTCTAGTGTTTTATCACCGTTTTGTAGGTATATACTCGAAGCACTTAGACTTGCACTCAACATGCGTCGGTCGATTTTTAGGGACCCCGGAGATGATCCACCAGTGTACGGTATGTTCTTCAATCCACCAATCCTCTACGTGCATTTAACCCCAAAAAATGGGCTACATTCACCCAATTTCAGTTTGGGCTACCTTAATCGTGATGTGCATTAACCACAATTTCGAAACTTTTTGACATGTGAGTGTTGTGGAACCGTGTGAGAGTTGTCAGTTTCCAAAGTGAACATTTTTTTATGATGATTCGGTTTCTGATTTATGTGTGAAATTGGGGGGTTTCTGTTGTTTCTGCAAAATATTCATGAGTTATGTGTATCTGTTTCAAATTCTTGCTGGATATTTGTTTTTGAATTTCCTACCGTTTGCATGCAGGTGGTAATTCTCCATATTTCACTGTTGAAGTTCATCATGGCGGCAATTTTTTTGCAAAGCCAAACAATTTGGTGTATGAAGGGGGGTTTGTGTTTTTCATCGATTATTTTGAGGCTGCATGGTTTACGAAAGAGAATTTGATGAAATTCTTAAGTATGGTTGGCAATGATGTGGTGTTGGAGTTCTATTATAAGAAGCCAATGATGGGTTTGGGAAAGGGATTGACGAGATTGGAGATGCTGAGGGATGTTGAGGACATGCTTAGGGACATGGAGGGTCATTCGTTGTTATAAATATATGTTGTAGCCCCAATGCAATCGTATGCATTGCCGTTGCATGCATATAAAGTTGATGACAACCAATCATTTGAAAATTGTTATATACCCATTGTCGAAGAGATGCAAGGAGCGGAGGATGAAGGTACTTGGGCAGAACATTTTTTTGAGGAACATACTTAACAATTGTGGTCACAGTATGAGGAAAGCTTCGAATACCATCAAGGTGAAGGTTCAAATGTGGGTGACAGGAGTGCGGGAATGGATGAAGTTGTGGTTGAAGATGTCACTGAAGAACAAAATGGGGGAGATGAAGTTGAGGGGTTGGTGGAATCTGATTACGAGATGGAGCATGAACATGGAGGTACTGGTGAAGCAGGGAGTCAACGGGTTAATTTTGATTTCGGATTTGGCGTAGTAGATGCACAAAAAGTTAGGGATTGTGATACCGACTACGGAGACTCCGATGATTTAAGAAGCATTCATAGTAATGAAGGGGAAGATGGGGCTTCTAGTGATGCTTTCAATGTTAGTACAGACATGGAGGACCCAGTGTTTAGAACATGTTAGTTGAAGATTTTCTTTACTACGTATTCTCAAAGTTCTTTTATTGATTTGATTGAAGGTGCTAATACTTTTGTTATGCTATGCAGCCATGGTATTTGAGTCTAAGGCCATCCTTAAGGCTGCAATCACTGAACATTAAAGGTAGGGATGTTTTGCGTCAATACAATGTAAAGGTAAGGATGTTTATCGCAAAGGCAGTGTAAAGGTAGGGATGTTTCTCGCAAAGACAATTTCATGCTAAATTGGGAAGAACACCTGTTTCTGTTCATCATCTTCTCCATTCTTACTCCAAACCTCCATTCACAGAAGCACATTTTAATTGTTTTTCTCACTTTATCCCTTATTTACACACTTTGTAAGCACAAAATGGGGATAAATTCATCATCTTCTACATTCTTACTCCAAACCTCCATTCACAGAAGCACATTTTAATCGTTTTTCTCACTTTATCCCTTATTTACACACTTTGTAAGCACAAAATTCGGATAAGCATCTTAATTTTATCGACCACATTCAATCCTCATATACCATTCCAATTTTTTTTTTTTTAAGATTTACGGCACTCACGATTAACATGCTTCCAAAAATACAGTAATTTCCGGCATTTTCCTTATTTTTTACAACATCATCAAAATTAATTTTCATATTACTTACACTTTTTAGTTATGCATAACATTTGAAGAAGAAAAAGGCGGGATGGAAGGGATGGAAGTTAGGGGGTGTTTTGACGGTTTTACCCCTTTGTTTGGAAAATAAAAATTATTTTTTAATGGATTTAACGGTGCATTCTAATGGGAATTGGACGAAATGACGTTTTGCGCAAGAAAATGCAAAGATGAGGACGTTCATCACCAAAAAATCAAACGTAAGAACGTTTTCCACAAAACCTGTCATAGGTAGGGACGTTTTGCGCCAATTACCCATTTTGCTAACAACATAATCCTTATGTGAANACGTTTTGCGCCAATTACCCATTTAGCTAACAACATAATCCTTATGTGAATTTGATTAAAGAAGTTTCAAATTAAGGATGGCAACGGTTCGGGTCAGGATCTGTTCGGTCAAAATCATAACCGCACCACCAATTTTTTGGTCATACTATAACTACACCATAATCACGTGAGTCGGTTCGGTTCGGTTAATAACCACGAAAATAAATTATTTTTTATAAGTCCAAACTCCAACCATCAAATTGAAAAAAAAATAATTTATGAAGAAAAGTCAATGAAAACAAAAACACAATACTAGGTCAATTTAGTAAACAATATCCCAAATGAAAATGTAAATAATATCTCAACTTCTAAATGCAAAATTCGAATTTAACAAACAATATTATCAACATAGGTCAAGACTTTTACTAGTATATGACAATCTTCATTCTTCCCCACAACTCTTACTAACATAGGTGAAGAGTCAAGATTCAAAATTGATTCATATATAGTAAATAAGAAATGTAATTAGAGTAATAATACAATCATACTACCTAATAAAGAATGGTTTTAACTGAAAATTTAAACAAAAAATTATACATCTCCGTCAATTGTCAAAATTGCCCAATTAATTGTGGGAAAGAATAATGGAAATCTCAATTGCCCAATTAATTTTTTTTAACGGGTGATCGGTCCGGGGGCGGGGCAATGTCGCTAAATATCATACCCGCCCCACCCCGAACCGGGTCATTAAAATCAAAACCATAACCACCCCATTGCACCATCGGTTCAGTTTTTTTCACCCCATTCGGTTGGGTTAACCGCGATTTTCGATTTTAACAGTTCGAATTGTCATCCCTATTTCAAATTGAAAAAGTTTATGGGGGCATACTAATACTATGATTCTTCGTGTTTTCATTATTATCGTGGCAATGGAAGCGGTTGGATAATAGAAACGAAGTGCGACTCTTACTGTTAGAATCAATTCACTTGGCACAAACAGTCTGCTTAGCTGATTTCAGATTATATTGAATCAGATGTTTTCGCTTTGCCAATTTGGCCCTGTTTGTTTCGAATTAAAATCATATTTTAATATAAGTCTAAGTCAAACAATCAATATTAACCACATCTTTCATGGATCTCACAACTTTTCAATCACACATTTCAAAAATATCTATCACAATCTACTAAAAATCTAATTTTAATCCACGCCAAATACCCACTTAGTGTTTTTGGATGTTGTTACCTTGCTAAATAAGGCATTTAGATATCCAATATTACAAGTCTTTCCTTTTTTGCTATCTTTTAATTTCTGTCAAATTCAAGTTTATATGAAAAAATGCTATCAAAAAATAAGAAAAATTTATTATTCTATTAACACTTCCTGTTTGATTATAATGTAACTTGCATGTGTACTGGATCTAGCTTAAATTGTCATTCTAAGCCCCCGTTTTACCCTCATTAAAATTATAATCAATTTTTTTCTCTTTTTATCAACCACACATTTTTTAATAAAATAATATTGCAAGTAAATAAAACACACGTTCTTTGAAAAAAATACTATTCCAAAAATTATAATCTCAAATAATGAACGTCACATGGGGGCTTAATACTTATTACCTATTAGTGCTATACTGTATTTCTCATTCACGGTCATTGACTGTAGTTGACATCTGATGAATAAAAGACTTAACATATGAGAATCGTGTTAAATTAAAAGTACATGTATAATAAAAGTTAATGAAATTTATGTTTAAAAAATTGAAATATGTGATTAAAAATAATTATTGACTTTAATTTAACTTAAAATCTTGATTTTAATTATCAACAAACGGGCCAACGGCCACACGACAGCTTTTACATTTTTACCGGAAGAGAATTACTCCAACCAACCTTGGAGAAGTCGAAATCAAACATACGTGGGATTAATAATGGTCACTTGTCGCTCACCTTTAATGCTCTCTTTGTCCTTTTTCAACAAAACAAACCGATTAATCTCTATTTTTCTATTATATTTCACGAAACCCACACACACAAATGAGCAAAATTCCAGTGAGTACCAGAATCTAGTACTGAATCAGTTGCTATAATTCCTTTCTTTCTCCATAGGTGGAGAGAGGAGGTGGGAGAGAGTGGAAAGAGAGTGAAAGACAGGGAGTTGGAATTTTCAAGAAATGCAGACCATTCCATTAGGAGGGACATTAATTTCAACAGTAGTGAACAGCAGTAGCCTCTCTCTCAATTTCAATAATCCGAAACCATTTTCCAAGATTTCCCCTCACCCCAGATCAGGTATCAAGAGCCCTTTCCGTGTACATAATACATATAATATTATTTGATTCAAGGATGAGAATTGGGTTTTTTTTTTAGTAATTGTGTATGAATTTGAGCCTGTGTACAAATAAATTGGGATTTCTTTCAGATTGTGAATTCAGATAATCTTTTAGGTTTCTTGCTTGCATTGGTTGTGATAATTTCAATTATCAATCTCGTCTCTGTCTTATTTTTGTGATTAATATGCGTGTATTAAATTTGATCTAATCTTGTGTGCAATTCTTGTTACAAGAAGAAAACGCATTTAAGTGGATGTGACACCTTAATCTTTATCAATGATATCATATCTCAAGGGAATCATTTGTATATAATAGTAAATTAGTAATTGAGCTGGTCTAAGTAATTATCCTCTGTCATTGGAACTGGTTCTGCGATGTCTTTGAAATTGTAATATGAAACTGAGAATTAGTTTACTGCAGAAAATTGGAGGCAAAGTTAGAGTTCATGATAATTTGATCTTTTGCTAGTTGAAGGGCAATATTTTGCAAGCATATGGCCAAATAAATGGGAAAGAGAAAATGAGTACGATCCAACTCATTCACTATGCATGAGAATGAGAGACATTTCAAGTAAACAAGGCTACGAGTAGTGGCAGAAAGTATTGGAATTTGCTTCGGTCTATGAAAGCAGTGTCTTGTATCAAATCTTATATCTGATTTATTATTATTATTATTATTATTATTATTTTTTTAAGTTTTCTTTTGGGTTAAAAAAATCCAGTAACAAAATTAGGATCAGCATAAACTGAAAACTATCAGCAGCGTGGCCGACCCTTTGAGCCCAAAGAGCCTACAAAATTTGGAATCAACATATTGTACATATGTTCGTGAAAACAAGTTCCTCAAGTTTGAATTTTTAAGATGACCTTAATGGATGATGCCATTTATTACTCTGTTTAACTAATCCAAGTGTCACACGTCTAATGTATCCGAACAGAATAATGCTTACATTCATTGGACATCGCATAGTAAAATAAGCCATTAAAGATTGTGTGGAGAGAGTAACTGTCTTTCAAGTTTTACTATTAATCGTTGCTACATCACTATATTTATGAATTTGAAATCATAAGGTTGTTAGTGAAGTTTCTTAAACAGATGTTATGTTGCTTGGATTTCCATCAAAAAAATTTCTGTGTGACTATCTAAATGTTGATTAGCTGGAATAGTGTTGATCCACTTCCTCTAAAAGCTTAAAGAGGGGCAAACTAATTTATTTAAGATTATTGTTCAGCAATAAGCAATTAATTAACAAACCTTCTTTCCCTTTAGGGCTTTGTAGGGCCAGTCAAGTGGCTGAATTGTTCCCAACCGTGTCTCCAGAGATTGTCGTTCGAGAAGCCAGGTTAGAGGACTGCTGGGAAGTGGCCGAGACTCACTGCAGTTCCTTCTTCCCTGAATATTCTTTTCCTCTAGATTTTGTGATGAGAATTGACAGGCTCATTGGAATGCTATTTGGATTCTCAATACCAAATGGCTGTAAGAGAACTTGCCTTGTTGCAGTAATTGGAAGTTCTGATGAAGATGCATTCATTTTAGGGAGTGACAATTTGAAAATCGGGGGGTTTGATGGAAAATTTAGTCTAAATAAAGGGTACGTAGCTGGGATATTGACTGTGGATACTGTTGCTGATTTTCTTCCAAGAAAAGGACCACTACGGCAGAGAAGGTAAGTTAGATATAGCTGCATTGGTGATCATCCTGCATGTGCAAGATTTATCTAATTTATTCAAGGTTTTAGTTTTATCGGCTGCATCAGATAAAAATTATACATTTTCCATTCTAATACAATCAACCAAACACACCCTTAGCCTCTATTTGATAGAAATTAAAATATAGATTTTAATCTAAGTCAAAGTAACAACTAATTTAACCACATATTTTATGAGATCCATTTTCAACTACATTTCATCAACTTTTATCAAAATCTACTAAAAATCTGATTTTAATCCCCCATCAAACAGGGGCCTAGTATTTTACCGACTTTTTTGATTGCTCTAAGCACAACAAAGCTTATGTTTTAATTTACTCTTAGTCTATGGTACATGGATTTTTCTTTTAACTCTCAAGTCTTCTAACTTCAAGTGGCATCCAAATGTTAGAGTATCTTCAAGAGACTCTCTATTATAAATGACATCTTATGTATAATAGATGACATTTTTAAATTTAAATAGAATTTTTTTTTAGACACTTAAACAATGCTACCTATTTTTGCTTTTCATTTTACTTTTTTCAAGAAACCTTTCTTGATTTCTTCTCATATTATATTTAACATATTTTTTTTATATGTCAATGTCCGATCAGGTCGAATATGATTTGAATAATTTAAAGAGTAGGTTTGGAGAGTCAAACCACTATTAATTTTAAAAGGTTAAAATAGAGAGTCTCCTGCAACTTATTTTTAAGCTTTTACTCTCTAAAAATAGAGAGTATCTTATATTTAGAAAGTATTTTGGAGATGCTTTTATATGTTAAGTCAAATCAAACTGTTCAAATGGGCATTACCTTTGCCAATAACTTCACCTCACTTGATGTCAGCTCAAATGTGTGGTTGTGATCAATCTTCTTCTTCTTCTTGTTTTGAACTCTGTTAGTATTGGGAATACGGAATAATGTTTAGGAGATTTATCGTGCATTGAATCTATGGTACTTCATGTTTATAAGGTTATCGTTGGGACCTCGACTTTGTTTTCTAATTTGCAGCATTGTAGATTATATATAAGTATAGGGAGCACATAGTGGAAGTACTTTTCAATGCAGGAGAGACCAACTTATTAATACTTGTTAGAATTTAGGTGTGACCCGAATTCCTTATTGAAGTAATTGAAAAATTCTAATTGAAGTGCTCGTCATGAAGAATTCAAATTTAGAATATTATTGGAGTCATATGTCACGTTGAAGTTCTATTTTGGAAGTCCATTGAGAGTTGGAATTTGTTTTGGACTCAATTTTATAGTATTATACTTCATCAATAACTCTACAAGGTGGGTTTGGACATCCCCTACTTATTCCCTATAAATACTAGGTTATTGTATACAGTTTTATAGTGTGAAAAAATAGATTACTAGAATTATAGAATCCATTGTAATTTTCTCTCTTTTCCATTATTCTTGAGTCAATAAAATCTTTTAATATTCTTGTCTTTTTTATTCTTTTGTTTGATCAAATACTTCATTATTATTTGTCATATAAATTCAACATCTCAATCCGGTGGTTTGTTCTACAACAATTGGTATCAGAGCTATTCTGGTATTTTGATTGTTTTGCAACAATTGGTATCAAAACAATTCTGGTATCTTGGTTGTTTTACAACAATTGGTATCAGAGCGCAATGTTTGATTTGTTCGAGGTTTTTTATTCGTGATAGCTTCTATGAAGTATGACATTCCGCTTTTGGATCGGAGTACTAGATTTTTGCTATGCCAGGTTAAGATACGTGCAGTATTCGCACGACTGGATTTGGATGATGCGTTGCTGGAAATTGACAAGATGCCCGCAATTTTGACCGCGGATGAGAAATTACGGAAGGATAAGAAGGTAGTTTCTCACATTCATCTATCAAATACTATTCTTCAGGACGTTTTGAAGGAGAATTCAGCAGCTGCTTTATGGTTGAGGTTGGAGAGATTGCGCATGACTAAAAGTCTGACAAGCAAGTTGAACCTTAAGCAACGTTTATACTCTCATCGAATGGCAGAAGGAGGATCATTGGAAGATCACCTGGCTGTATTTAAGGAGATCGTCGTTGATTTAGAAACTTTGGAAGCAGAATATGATGATGAAGATTTGGCTTTGATCCTATTGTGTTCATTGCCCGCTTCGTTTTCTCCATTTAGAGACAAGATTTTGTATAGTCGTGATACTCTCACTATAGAGGAAGTGTATGATACTTTGTATTCAAAAGAGAAGATGAAGTATCTGATTTCTAAGGCCAGAGATAAAGACGGCCGGCTGATCATGATGGTTCTGGAAGGGGTAGATCGAAATCTAAGTTCAGTAATCAAATTTGTAACTATTGCAAGAAGGATGGGCACTTAAAGAAGGATTGCTACAAATTGCAGAATAAAGAAACGATGGCTGCAAGTAGATATTCAGATATTTCAAGCGAAGCAGACCTCGTGGAGAACTTTATAAAGTGATGGGGAACTCTTAGCTATTTCTGACATTGAGTCTAAACCGGCAGATGATTGGATTCTTGATTCAGCATGTGTATTTCATATGTGTCCTAATAAGGACTTGTTTGCTACATATGAAACTGTTTCCAAATGTGTCGTGGTTATGGGAAACAATGCATCTTGTCGGATTGCTGGAATTGGTACGTCAGATTGAAACTTTTGGATGAGACAATTAGAACACTTGGCCAAGTTCGACATGTTCCAGATTTGAAGAAAAATATTATCTCGTTATCTACCCTTGATTAAAAGGTTATGAGTTCTTTGGTGGAGGTGGAGGTGGAGGTGGAGTTTTGAAGGTTTGTAAGGGTGCTCAAGTTGTATTGGAGGGACAAAAAAGGTCTCGATTATACATCTTGCGGGGTCGTGCAGAATTTAGAAGAGTTAATCAGCACAAGTCCAGGATCATGGTGGAATTCAGTTTGGTACAATATCTTTAGGAGTTCATAAATGGTCGAATTTGAATAATACAGTTCAGTGGAGTTCAGGATGTATGGATAATGCCGCTTTGTCACCATCACTTACGGTGCCATTGTATTCAATTGCTAGGGACGGACCCAATGGAAAAGTGTATGTGGATGCTGATTTTGTTGAGCATGCTTTAAGTGGAGTAGAAGGTGTACAATCTAGCAATAAGTCTTCTGTAAAAACATTTGGTATTGATTCTGCTTTGGGGTGTGTTACAACCCATTTTGGTAAATTATAAAATTATTATCATTTTTTGGAATCTGAGGTAATTATGTAGAGTAGTGCTTGGATTCATTGGAAGAGATTGAGTATTTTGTGTTTGGTTGGAGAAATTAATTTTTTTGATTATTGTTGAATAAGTTAATTCATTCCTTAGTAGAATTTGTGTCAAGGTGGAGATTGTTAAAATTTGGGTGTGATCCGAATGCCTTGTTGAAGTAATTGAAGAATTTTTCATGACGTGCACTTCAATTAGAATTTGACAAAATGGTTGCTTTCTTAAAAGTTAGAGAATCTACAAATTGTGAGTGTCAAAATCTACGCTATTGTGGATCTGACCGCTAATGTATCTTTCAAAAGGAAAAAGATAACTGATAATTGTTTCTTGAATCCGAAATAGAGTACTTGGGTTCACCAAATAACTAAAAAGCGTAGCATGCCTGAATTGATTGTCTTGCAATAATATGTGCAACTTCTCCTAATTCAACTAGGTCGTCATGAGGACTCCGAAGATTCCATTTTGAGAGAGTTAAAAAGCACTCTCTCTTCTATACATATGTCCTTTCTCAAAGCATATGAGAAAAATAAGTTGGGAATTTGGACAACGCAATTTGTGGGTCCCCCGCTTATAAGAAAGCTATTTTTTGCCAAATATGCTTGTTGTAACTTATTGATTTGGAATGTAATGAAATGAGCAATGATGAAGAACGCATTTCTTTACTGCGTGCTTGGTTTTTATATCATTATCTACCTGTGCATGTCCACATCCATGTTAGTTTTTAATTTAGTTTAAGAAATATTCCCCAAATGACATGTGGACAGGACGGGAATCGCATATATATCAAATGTTGCTGTCCGAGACAGATATCGTAGGAAGGGAATAGCTAAGAGGCTCATGGCAAAAGCTGAGACAAAAGCTCGAAGCTGGGGATGCCGTGCCATTGCATTACACTGTGACCTTAACAACCCAGGAGCGACCAAGTTGTACAAAGGTCAGGGCTTCAAAAGCATTAAAGTGCCGGAAGGCACTAACTGGCCTCAACCAAAAACTTCACCTGACATCCAGTTCGTCTTCATGATGAAGCTGCTGAATTCCCAAGCCGGTTCTCAAGTTATTTAGGAAAACATTATTCAGTCATAAACTTTTAAAAACGCGAAAGAAGGTAAAAAGATACCCTTACGTACATTAGATGAGGTGCAGATTGTGTAGTGTAATTATGTTGCCTGTGATGCTAGTCTCTAGGAATTATATTCTGTTGTGCAGTATCGAGCTATTTAATTTTCTTTCCTACGTTATATAATGTTACATATGATTATTATTCAGTTCCTTTTGTGGTTTATTCAACTTTGTAGGATCGGCATTCGATTACTCTAGACCAAAGACTACTTGTTCAGTCGTGTTTGGCTAGACAGATAAAGATGTCCGGCCATACATTGCTGAACATGTTATTTTAGTTAAATTAAGTAGCCAATTGTGTAGAAGCCAATCGAGCCAACAAGTTTAATAAAACATAATAAGATTTAAAAGATGATTTCCTATAAAATCTTTAGCTTAGAGAGGGTGTGTAGGTCATATTTTAGGTAGTTTTTTGTGACTTTGAGCAACATAAAGATGTTTATGAACCATAGAGATTGGACGAGAGAGAAGTTCAAAAAAATTTATTTTTCATCCTTGTTGTCTAGCTCTAGACCTGCATAACAAAAATGCCATAAATATGTTTCAGAGCTTCCAAAGGAAACCCCACTAGTTTCAGCTGTTGGACAGAGTACATGTCAAAGCCGTAAAATCACCCTTTGCAAGACTGCTGTCAGATCACAAATTCCAATACTCGAGAAAAATGGGGCATATTCTTACATGTACTAGGATCCGTTTGATTAAAAATGTAGAAAATGGATGGAAAGAAAATATTTTATAAGGAATTAATTTACCTAAAAATTGTTTTACTGGAAATTGTAATTAATTGTGTTTGATTGGTAAAATTTTTCATGAAAAATGTTAAAAATTTGATGTTCGTTTGGCTTCATTTTTTATACAAATTATCCATTAAAATGATAATATTTTCTACCATTGGGGTCTAGAATTTGTTCCAATTGCAAAAAATAATAATAATAACAATATAAAAAATAATCATACTGAATATCATTCGTTTGACTTTGTTTTGCATGAAAATTATCAATAAAAGTGAAATTTTTTTTACTATTGTGTCTAGAATTTTTTTCAAAAAAAAAAAAAAAGGAAAATATTTACTCACCAAAATATCAAAAATTTATTTTCCTCAAAAAGGTGGAAAATTTGAAAAGTTAGAAAATAGAAAAAAATTTCAATGTGTGCTATCAAACGGGGCCTTAATTCAACTCAGAACCCTCTCAGACCGCCAACCTTCAACCTGTGATTATTACTAGAATCGTGAATTTGATTCTAACATGATATTCACAATCTTTGCTCTTTGTATGGCCAGATATTAAAACAAATAAAACCAAAAACCTACAGCAATTAACTTCGAACAAAACGTGCCATTCGAGAATAGAGAATGCATCAAACTATAATAAAAGAAGTCGAAATAACCCCTCTTCTCTATGCTTTGACAAATTTGTCGAGTGCAGAAGTATCAAGAGCCAGAAACTCTTTAACAGCAGAGAGCACACAGAGACCAAGTTTCACAGCATCGTCATTGCTTGGTGCCTGCAATATTAGCTTTCAAGATCAGTTGTCCTGTATTTAAAGAATCACCACGCTTCATGAACTAGGAAATCAATGGTCACCTCAATATTTAGGGGTAAAACGGGGTCGTGAAGTGACAGCCTCAAAAGAAACCATCCGCCATAACCAGAAACCCGCACCTGTTCATAAAGCAAATCCAAACAATACGGAGTTTATCACATGGAAACAATGAATCTAAATATAACTAGCAACAGAATATTACAAAATTGTAGTCCCATTGTGCTCCACAAAGTGTCGATCAAAAAATATGACAAACAAAATTCCAAACCAAGCTTTTCCATTTGCCAAATGTACAAACTTACGCCTTCATAGTTAACTGGGGCTTTCTGAAGCTTTGGGTCTGAATCACAGATGTTCCCTAAATGTCGTAGCACTGCCTCTCCATAATCACGGAAAGATCTGAAAGCATTAACAAGATCAGTTTTTAATGAATCGCCAGTAACACAAGTTTACGCAGCAAGGTATATAGTAGCTTACCCCCCTTTTAGATCAGTATGATTCAGATCAATTTTCAGTCTAAGTTCAACCGCAACGCCAGGTTCCTCTAGACCATCTACCAAGTCAGTCAGAACCTTGCTGCCAACCCCCATTCCAGAAGCTTTAGCTGCAGCGAGTTTATTTAATAGCTTGACCTACGAGTAAAATAGAAATTGGGGAAAAAAATAAATATGAAGAAAAATTTAATTGCAGCCTTCAATATAATTGGATAAAAAATGTAGTGTTGTGTGGAAATGAAACAAACATCTCTAACATCTTAAACTTTTAGATCAAGTGGTTCAATATGACATTTGAGCAAGTAAAAGTCTTGGGTCAAGTCTCTCTACCACCCATTTGATGAAATTGTGCACGTGTCAAGCTTTAATGGGAAAAATGAACCATGTCTACACTTGAGGGGATGTGTCGAACATGATATTTAAATGATATATGTGATCATATCTAATAGCTTAAGATTTCAGATGAAGTAACTCATCAAAAAAAAAAAAAACAAACTAGTAGTCTTGGAAGGTGACCAACTTATAATGTTTGAAACCTACCATGAGATATGCACCATCATCCAGCCAATGATTCTCCTTGAGAGCTCCATGCCCACTTGTTTCAATAGCCAAATGAGACTCCTTTCCAATTGAGTTCTATAATATTTTACCAAGTGAACAAGTCAAGTTTCTCATGCTAAAACTCGGAAGAATAATTAGAATGTGAAACATATTGGAAAAAGTATAGATAATGAGATATGGCAAAACTCCAATCACAACCATGGCTAGGAATCAGATGCACATAATAACATGCCCGGATTATATGAAGTGAAGTTTCTATAAGCAGGAAATAATAAATTCATTATATTCTCAGAGTCCAGTGACGAGCGTGTGTATGAACACTACCACCACACAAAGCAATGAAATTAAATAAACCTCACAATCCCATGAAAATGAAAAGAATAACAAATTGAGTTTGGAAATGAGAGCACCTTCCTATAGAATGCAAAAAATTGCCTCATATCCAACAAATTATTACCAGACCCTAGCTTTGAATCACAAAACTCTATAGTTGGCTATCATAGACTTTAAGTTGAAGACTATTATGAATGTAATAAAGATAATATATTGTGCCTATATTCATTGTCTCCATAATTCTGTCGAACGCGAAAATATGGCTTCATGTAGTTCTGTCTTTCCTGAATAAAGACGAAAGTTATTTTGATGATTTCACGAATAAAGTAGAAAAGTTCGTCTAATCCAAAAAACCTGTCACATTTTTGAGGATGGTTGCTTCTAAAAGCGCAAATATTTTTTATGTTAATAATATGCTATTTCTAACTTCGTAAGATAAAAGTCATAAAACACAATAACCAATTTTGCCTACGTCAGTTTCCTCCAGATTCAATTTTTATTTCATTGGTACACTCTGAACACTTGTCTTTCGCTTTCACTCTCCTTTTACATTGCCTCTTTAATTATTGATATGTAGTGATCATCTTCTTGCCACAACTATAATAAAAACTTATTGGCTGAATCAGAACAAAGAAATGTTGTAATGAGTATGTAGACAAGATCTTAAACGTCCAACACAAAAGCAGTCAACTGGTTCCAGAAGAATCCTAGATTTTTAGAAAAATGTTTGTTGTCATCAGTGAGTAATCCTTCTTGATGACTCTAGAACTCAAACAAAATAAAAAGACAACTGCATAACGATATCTAGAGGTGTAAAACGTTTTGGCTGCCTGTGCAGACGGCATGGCCCACCCGGAGGCCAAGGTGCAGCATCCATTTTTGATAAACCAGGCTGGGCAGGCAGTCAAGAAAAATACGGGACTAGGCACAGCCCATGCCAAGCTGGGCAGGCCACCTAGACTAATTTTTTGGTTACGTTAAAAAAAAAAAACTCCTGTGGGCCAACAAATCAAGGACTCCAGCATCCAACCCTTTTTGACATTTCTACCAGTATCCTAGTCGTGGATTGGACAGAATCTAACTGACAACCGATGGCTATTTGAACCTATCGTTTAAAATGAAAGGACAAGAAATTTTTATCAAACTAGGCCTTACCAAACGAATAGCTTCATCAATGACATTTTTGTAGCCTCTTTTGAATCTATGGTGTCTTCCACCTGCAAAGATTAATTATTGTGAGCAAATTGATCATCGAAAAACTTCATTCTTTGTCTACCGATCTTACCCAGTTTCTTTTCAATAAATGTTGTCAACCCATCTGATGTCACACTATCCGTTACAATGGTTGTCCCTGGATGCTGGTTGAAGGCCAAACAGCAAAGAATTTAGATTTGGTTTAAAATGAGTATGCTCAAGACATTTCATCTATGAAAACATACTTCCTCTAACACAACTGCAGACATCAAGGCAATCAATCTATTCCTGTTGAGCTCACGACCGCTGGAATCCACGGCAGCAGATCTAACCAAAAGACCCAATCATTATTAACTAGATAACCCAAAATGTAAATGTAAAACAAATGCACAAACTCTGCAAACCATCACCTGTCAACATCAGTATCAAAGATGATGCCCAAATCTGCTTTGTTATCAAGGACAGCCTGTGTTATAGCTTTCATTGCTTCCTTGTCCTCAGGGTTAGGAATATGATTGGGAAATAATCCTGACATAGGCAAATATGATGGTCCTTTTTAAAAAATTACGGATATGGTGTGTCTATACAAAGTATTCTAGAAGTTTTACCATCTGGGTCTAAGAATTGACTTCCAGAAGTAACAGCTCCCAAAGGCTCAAGTACCTTTCCCTGACAAATCATTGACATAAACTTAACTATTAGCAGAAATGTATTTTTCACGTGGTCTAATCAAACGAGTGTCCAATGCTCCATGTATAAAAAGTTTCAGACATTGTCATAACATAACCAAGCAGGAGTGATCTTACAATCTGTTGT